TTCCACCAAATCAAGGCGTACAGCTTAAAGACCGACTGTTTTGAACAGCTTGCTACAAATGCTAACGATCCTCATCCCTTTTTGGAAAATTTATTTTTTGACCAATTTTCTCAATTTTTGTAGGGGTTACATCCCTTTTTTTCGAAAAATGGCAAAAATTAAAAATTTTCAGGTTGAAATGCCAATCGATTGGAAATTAAACAACGAGCTCAACGAGGTATGACATTCCTCATTCTGACTTATATTTTTGTTATGGCAGCCAAAAAACTGAATTTTCATCGCGAAAAAAGGGTTAAAATTTTTGTCAAAAATACAAAATTCAGATTTTTGTCAAAAATTCGAAATTTTTTTCTGGTTTTTTCATCGTAGTTCCACCAAATCAAGGCGTACAGCTAAAAGACCGACTGTTTTGAACAGCTTGCTACAAATGCTAACGATCCTCATCCCTTTTTGGAAAATGTATTTTTTCACCAATTTTCTCACTTTTTTTCGAAAAATGGCAAAAATTAAAAATTTTCAGGTTGAAATGCCAATCGATTGGAAATCAAACAACGAGCTCAACGAGGTATGACATTCCTCATTCTGACTTATATTTTTGTTATGGCAGCCAAAAAAATGAATTTTTATGTCGAAAAAAGGGTTAACATTTTTGTCAAAAATACAAAATTCAGATTTTTGTCAAAAATTCGAAATTTTTTTCTGGTTTTTTCATCGTAGTTCCACCAAATCAAGGCGTACAGCTTAAAGACCGACTGTTTTGAACAGCTTGCTACAAATGCAAACGATCCTCATCCCTTTTTGGAAAATTTATTTTTTGACCAATTTTCTCAATTTTTGTAGGGGTTACATCACTTTTTTTTCGAAAAATGGCAAAAATTAAAAATTTTCAGGTTGAAATGCCAATCGATTGGAAATTAAACAACGAGCTCAACGAGGTATGACATTCCTCATTCTGACTTATATTTTTATTATGGCAGCCAAAAAACTGAATTTTTATGGCGAAAAAAGGGTTAAAATTTTTGTCAAAAATACAAAATTAAGATTTTTGTCAAAAATTCGAAATTTGTTTCTGGTTTTTTCATTGTAGTTCCACCAAATCAAGGCGTACAGCTAAAAGACCGACTGTTTTGAACAGCTTGCTACAAATGCTAACGATCCTCATCCCTTTTTGGAAAATTTATTTTTTGACCAATTTTCTCAATTTTTGTAGGGGTTACATCACTTTTTTTTCGAAAAATGGCAAAAATTAAAAATTTTCAGGTTGAAATGCCAATCGATTGGAAATTAAACAACGAGCTCAACGAGGTATGACATTCCTCATTCTGACTTATATTTTTGTTATGGCAGCCAAAAAACTGAATTTTCATGGCGAAAAAAGGGTTAAAATTTTTGTCAAAAATACAAAATTCAGATTTTTGTCAAAAATTCGAAATTTTTTTCTGGTTTTTTTATCGTAGTTCAGCCAAATCAAGGCGTACAGCTAAAAGACCTACTCTTTTGAACAGCTTGCTACAAATGCTAACGATCCTCATCCCTTTTTGGAAAATTTATTTTTTGACCAATTTTCTCAATTTTTGTAGGGGTTACATCACTTTTTTTTTAAAAATGGCAAAAATTAAAAATTTTCAGGTTGAAATGCCAATCGATTGGAAATCAAACAACGAGCTCAACGAGGTATGACATTCCTCATTCTGACTTATATTTTTGTTATGGCAGCCAAGAAACTGAATTTTCATGGCGAAAAAAGGGTTAAAATTTTTGTCAAAAATACAAAATTCAGATTTTTGTCAAAAATTCGAAATTTTTTTCTGGTTTTTTTATCGTAGTTCAGCCAAATCAAGGCGTACAGCTAAAAGACCTACTCTTTTGAACAGCTTGCTACAAATGCTAACGATCCTCACCCCTTTTTGGAAAATTTATTTTTTCACCAATTTTCTCAATTTTTGTAGGGGTTACATAACTTTTTTTCGAAAAATGGCAAAAATTAAATATTTTCAGGTTGAAATGCCAATCGATTGGAAATTAAACAACGAGCTCAACGAGGCATGACATTCCTCATTCTGACTTATATTTTTGTTATGGCAGCCAAAAAACTGAATTTTCATGGCGAAAAAAGGGTTAAAATTTTTGTCAAAAATACAAAATTCAGATTTTTGTCAAAAATTCGAAATTTTTTTCTGGTTTTTTTATCGTAGTTCAGCCAAATTAGGGCGTACAGCTAAAAGACTGACTGTTTTGAACAGCTTGCTACAAATGCTAACGATCCTCATCCCTTTTTGGAAAATTTATTTTTTGACCAATTTTCTCAATTTTTGTAGGGGTTACATCAGTTTTTTTTGAAAAATGGCAAAAATTAAAAATTTTCAGGTTGAAATGCCAATCGATTAAAAATCAAACAACGAGCTCAACGAGGTATGACATTCCTCATTCTGACTTATATTTTTGTTATGGCAGCCAAGAAACTGAATTTTCATGGCGAAAAAAGGGTTAAAATTTTAGTCAAAAATACAAAATTCAGATTTTTGTCAAAAATTCGAAATTTTTTTCTGGTTTTTTTATCGTAGTTCAGCCAAATCAAGGCGTACAGCTAAAAGACCTACTCTTTTGAACAGCTTGCTACAAATGCTAACAAAAATTAAAAATTTTCAGGTTGAAATGCCAATCGATTGGAAATTAAACAACGAGCTCAACGAGGTATGACATTCCTCATTCTGACTTATATTTTTGTTATGGCAGCCAAAAAACTGAATTTTTATGGCGAAAATACAAAATTCAGATTTTTGTCAAAAATTCGAAATTTTTTTCTGGTTTTTTCATCGTAGTTCCACCAAATCAAGGCGTATGGCTAAAACACCGACTGTTTTGAACAGCTTGCTACAAATGCTAGGGATCCTCATCCCTTTTTGGAAAATTTATTTTTTGACCAATTTTATCAATTTTTGTAGGGGTCACTTTTTTTTGAAAAATGGCAAAAATTTAAAATTTTCAGGTTGAAATGCCAATCGATTGGAAATTAAACAACGAGCTCAACGAGGTATGACATTCCCCATTCTGACTTATATTTTTGTTATGGCAGCTAAAAAACTGAATTTTTATGGCGAAAAAAGGGTTAAAATTTTTGTCAAAAATACAAAATTAAGATTTTTGTCAAAAATTCGAAATTTTTTTCTGGTTTTTTCATCGTAGTTCCACCAAATCAAGGCGTATAGCTAAAAGACCGACTGTTTTGAACAGCTTGCTACAAATGCTAACGATCCTCATCCCTTTTTGGAAAATTTATTTTTTCACCAATTTTTTCAATTTTTGTAGGGGTTACATAACTTTTTTTCGAAAAATGGCAAAAATTAAAAATTTCCAGGTTGAAATGCCAATTGATTGGCAATTAAACAACGAGCTCAGCGAGGTATGACATTCCTCATTCTGACTTATATTTTTGTTATGGCAGCCAAAAAACTGAATTTTTATGGCGAAAAAAGGGTTAAAATTTTTGTCAAAAATACAAAATTCAGATTTTAGTCAAAAATTCGACATTTTTTTCTGGTTTTTTCATCGTAGTTCCACCAAATCAGGGCGTACAGCTAAAAGACCGACTGTTTTGAACAGCTTGCTACAAATGCTAACGATCCTCATCCCTTTTTGGAAAATGTATTTTTTCACCAATTTTCTCACTTTTTTTCGAAAAATGGCAAAAATTAAAAATTTTCAGGTTGAAATGCCAATCGATTGGAAATCAAACAACGAGCTCAACGAGGTATGACATTCCTCATTCTGACTTATATTTTTGTTATGGCAGCCAAAAAAATGAATTTTTATGTCGAAAAAAGGGTTAACATTTTTGTCAAAAATACAAAATTCAGATTTTTGTCAAAAATTCAAAAATTTTTTCTGGTTTTTTCATCGTAGTTCCACCAAATCAAGGCGTACAGCTTAAAGACCGACTGTTTTGAACAGCTTGCTACAAATGCTAACGATCCTCATCCCTTTTTGAAAAATTTATTTTTTGACCAATTTTCTCAATTTTTGTAGGGGTTACATCACTTTTTTTCGAAAAATGGCAAAAATTAAAAATTTTCAGGTTGAAATGCCAATCGATTGGAAATTAAACAACGAGCTCAACGAGGTATGACATTCCTCATTCTGACTTATATTTTTGTTATGGCAGCCAAAAAATTGAATTTTTATGGCAAAAAATGGTTAACATTTTTGTCAAAAACACAAAACTCAGATTTTTGTCAAAAATGCGAAATTTTTTTCCGGTTTTTTCATCGTAGTTCAGCCAAATCAAGGCGTACAGCTAAAAGACCTACTCTTTTGAACAGCTTGCTACAAATGCTAACGATCCTCATCCCTTTTTGGAAAATTTATTTTTTGACCAATTTTCTCAATTTTTGTAGGGGTTACATCACTTTTTTTCGAAAAATGGCAAAAATTAAAAATTTTCAGGTTGAAATGCCAATCGATTGGAAATTAAACAACGAGCTCAACGAGGTATGACATTCCTCATTCTGACTTATATTTTTGTTATCAAACCAATTGACCAATTTTCTCAATTTTTGTAGGGGTTACATTACTTTTTTTCGAAAAATGGCAAAAATTAAACATTTTCAGGTTAGAATGCCAATCGATTGGAAATTAAACAACGAGCTCAACGAGGTATGACATTCCTCATTCTGACTTATATTTTTGTTATGGCAGCCAAAAAACTGAATTTTTATGGTGAAAAAAGGGTTACAATTTTTGTCAAAAATACAAAATTAAGATTTTTGTCAAAAATTCGACATTTTTTCCGGTTTTTCCATCGTAGTTCAGCCAAATCAAGGAGTACAGCTAAGAGACCGACTGTTTTGAACAGCTTGCTAAATATGCTAACGATCCTCATCAATTTTTGGTTCAGTTTCAATGGGCAAAACATCAATACAAAAAGTTATGTTAATGAATGGTGTTATAACATATCGAAACCATTAACATGGTCCAAAGTTTCCAGATTTAAGGTTACTTACTCATAAGCCAGGACCACAATGTTCTCTGTTATCATTTCAAAAATGGGCTGGACCAATTCGGGGTTCTGCTCATACAACCGGGCTATTCCAATTTTCTTTTGCTCCACACTTTCCGGACTCGAGATGATCATCTTGTGGTAATGGGTTTCGAAGTCTGTCGTACAGCTGGCTGCAGACCAGAGCAACTTCCTTTCACTTGGTCGAGTTTCCAGATAATACCGACCCCATACCGCGGTGTAGGAATTGAAGTCACTGCTGCTGGCTGCACAATAGAAGGTTTCCCTGTAGTCCGGCGATGGTTGTTCCGAAGATGTTACAAACTTGACGTTCACCTTGTTCCTGCATCCGCTGACCTGGTATATGCACAGCCACTTGACCAGCTTGTTCCGATTGGCCACATCCAGTGGAGTATCCTGCGAACTCCACTCCACTCCCAGTTTCTCAAACACAGACTTTGTTATGTCGGAGAGGTAATTACGGAAGCTGGGCAGCTGTTCTGGGGTCAGTCGCTTTGCCACTCGGTTAAGGTTTTCATAGACGGCATACCAGGGTACGTAGTCCACCTCCTTACTCAGGTACTCCAGGAACTGAAAGACCTCCTCGTATTGCACATACCGAACATAGGCAAAATTGAAGAGATCATCAATAAGTTGCGCCCGGTTCTCAACAGGAATGCCACTGTGATTCGATGCGGATAAGGCTACCCGAAGACCTTCTCTCAAGGTATAATCATATAAAACCCTTTGGTAGTTCGACTGCCTCAAGTTGAGCAAAAACCACTCAATAGGTTCATCAAAAGCAATGAGCTGGTACCTTTCATTCTTGTGCATATACTTAGATGGCGTCAGATTATAGAAATTGGGTGCCAGATTGCTGGTATAAGTTAAGGGCACAGTGTACTTCAGTCCACCTCTACTGCCATCTGTGTAATCCAAAAGGAATCGATCCTGTTGCACCGTGACGGCATTGACGGAACGTAACCTCACTACTAGCATGGGAAAGCCCACCTGCTCCGTGTAGTCGTAGAAAAATTGTTCCACATCCACTTCCTGATTCGCTGGCCAGTTCTCAGAAAGGTGATATAATAAACTATCTGGTACAGTGTTGCCCAAGTGGCTGAAGAGAAAAAACATAATCTCACTTATTCGTCATCTTAAAAAAATGCGAATTTAAAGATTATTCTGGCTTTAATATCAATAACTTACTATTGCTTTAGGTAATTCTGGATGCCCTATCGAAGTTCTGCTCCCCCATAATATTTCGCCACATTCTCAGGATGCAGGCTCCTTTGGCATAGGCAATCCCACTGAATTTGTATGCAATCTCGGAGGGCGTTTGGATATCCGATTCCAGACTCGTCAGGGGCTGAGTGCTGTTCCGGGCATCCGTGGCAAAGATCAGGTGCATTTGCCGCACCACAAACTGCTCGTCCAGGTGATACTCGGGATAGAGCTAAAGAGATTTATCGTTTTGTGAATATATAGAGGAATTACGTTCCCACCTGGTGTGCCATAAAGTACTCGTAGTAGCGGGCAAAGGCCTCATTTAGCCAGAAGTAGCTCCACCAGGAGAAGGTCACGCTGTCCCCAAACCACATGTGCGACGTCTCGTGGGCGATAATACGAATGGTAAACTCCTTGTTCGACCAGTCGTCGGAGTAACCAGATTCCTGGATCAGAACCTCATCGCTAAAGGTAAAAAATTAAATACAATTCGATTCATAGATTTAAACGCCATGTTTTAACCAAGGATCCTATTATTTTTAAAAAATGTATCACCTGTAGATGATAAGACCCCAGTTCTCCATGCCATTGTGTGGAAACCTGGGTGAACTGGCATATTGAAGCACCTCGTTTCCCAGCTCTGCATATGGAATCTGGAACAACTCCCCGTAGGCTGGAATAACCCTCTGACCCACTTGGTGGCTGAACTCCGTGTGGTTGTAGAACTCCGGGCGAGTCAGTACAGCGAAATCACTAACATTTCCACGGGCAGAATAACTGGCCACCATGAAAGACAGCAGATATGTGGACATGACGGGGGTTTCCTCGAAGTGATCAACAAATCGGTCTGAGCTGAAACAGAGGAAAATAAGTTATGCACCAAAGAAAAACTATTACAGAAACTAAACTGTTCGTACATTAATTCTAAACTATTGAGGTTCAAAAAATGTTTCTTAAATAATTTTTTATAATTAAAATATGATAGTCCTAAAAAATATTTATAGCACCTTATACAATTGTTAAATAATATATCAATAGGATTAATAATGTTAAATTTCTCTCTAGGCTTTATTGATTTTTCTGAACTTTAATAAACAAAACCATAAGGTAGTTATCAAAAAATTGTATATATATATTATTACCTTGCCGCGGTGGTTTCCCTGAGCTTGGTGTTGCCAATTGACTGATAGCCGTTGGGTCGGATAATCTGCAGCTGAAACTTGGCTTCAAGGCGGGCTCATCGAAGCAGGGCAGGACCAAGCGGGCATTGATGCGCTGCATCTGGGTGACGGCCAGCCACCTGGTCACATTGGTGACCTCCTCCACATAGCTGGCGGAGAAGAGCCCTGCCATGTCCGTCCGTATGTGTCCGGTGTACTTAAACCCGAGCGTGTAATTCTGGCCGGGCTGCACTGGCTGCGTCAGCGGAACTTTCACATGCTGGGTGGCGGCCTCATAAATCAGCCGACTGATATCGATGGCCTCCACCTGGACCCCCACCGCATCCAGCAGCCAGCATTCAGATATGTCGAGCGTGTCGGCGTGTAGAATGATTTGTGGCACCTCCAGTGGGCCGACCACCCGCAGAGTTATGCTCACCTCACCATCAAGAGAGTGGGCTCGGCCGGGTCTCTCAAAACGCCGATGGTCAGGTTATAGTATGAGGGTATGACGCTACCGTCCAGCCGATAATCAGCGCCATTTACGACGCAGATCAGCAGAAAATATATTAGCCTCGAGACCCGAGATACCGAACTGCTCATGTTGACCGAAGCTTGGGAACTGGACAGTCGGATTCTCTCTGTGAGATCGCCGAAATCACAATATCAAACAAAAGTTCCCCGCAAACAGGTGTTGTTAGATTAGATTGCGAGATGTTCAACAGCAAAAACTCGAATAGTCGTCACACTTTCCACACTCAAATATTCTTATCAACACGCGATCGGGAGCTCATTAACCTGCTAAATGATATGTCAATTATAATTTTTAATTGCCCACCGACTGCCGTTTAATGACTTTAGGTCACAAAATGTATTACTAGTTTGACTTCATTTATTTGATTTGATTTTATTTTTCAAGTTTTGGAATAAATATTGTTTGAAATACTAAACTTAAGTAAGAAGTAAACAAGGAAGGACTTAAGTTTCCAGCGCTCTTTTGTATGTAATCTTTTTTTTTGCATTATATACTAGTTTTTATTTATTAAAATAATATTTATAAACAAATTAACAATTAATAAATATTCTAAAAGACCAATAGTTTGAAAACTCCATAACCATTCATTCATCAATAAAGTAGAAAGTCCATATGGCTTTTAATACTTAAATTGATAAGATGTGATAAGGACTTAAGTTTCGATTGCTTTCCCTGAAAAATGAATCAACTAGAATTAACTAGAAAAAATGGGCTGATTATAATCTCCTCCATAAGAACGTAAAAGATCTTTGATAAGTTAACGATAGTGATAATTATTTATTAGTCCGTTTGGCTAAGTTTATGATGTCACTGTTATATGAAAAGCACTTTAGTAATCGCTCTTTGATTAGTAATACTTCCTTGAACTTACCAATTCTAGTCTATTTTTTGAAAAAAAAAAAAATATAAAAAAGCATAAACAGAGCAAAATGCGTTTCTTAAATCAAACAGAATGCAATGTAATAACAAATGAACTCACGCTAAAAGATAACAAATTATATAAAAAAAGCTAGACATAAGACTTAACAATGCTTTCAGCTAAAGACTAATTCCATTCAATAAATTGGCAATAAAACATCGTATTAAATTGTTGCAAAAACTTTGAGTATGAAAAATAGTTTATCACCCTGATACGAATTTATGGCTTAACGATGATCGATTGATTGGACAATCGGCACTTTAGTTCAATGAAATCCCCTCAAGATTGTTAACTGAATCATCCGCACACGCTGGCGCTAATCAGATTGTAAACTTTGTCGCCAGGGTGGCCATTCAAGACTAGTGTACGATCGATTTTGCAAATACCCACAATAATAATATACGACAAGGGGTTATCTACAAAATGGTGTTATTTTATTGGGTGCTTTAAGCGGGGAAATACTTTATGGACGAATGTTACTCGTGACCCGATTGCACCTGTCCCCTAAGGAGTTAGTTTAGTGGCGCAACATGGTGACCAGGGCCACCATCAAAAGGCTAAGGGCACTGAAGGCATTGACCATGGCACTTCCACTGCGGTAGTTGGCCAGATAGCTGCGGAAGACTCCCAACTTGGCAGTGGCCCAGTCCAGGTTCTCCTTGACGGTGGCCTCAGCGGCAGTCAAAGTGGCCTGCGAGGTGCCGAACTTGCTTCCATTGTTGGTGTTGAAGGTCTGCAGGTCGGTCAACTGCTGCTGGGTGGTGAAACGGGCGGCGATGTTGGAGATCACAGTGGCCACTGCGGAGTAACCACCCATGCTACAAGGGAAATCGATACATGTATGAGTAAAATATTTATAATTGTATTTAGGTCAATTCCTCAATGTCAAGTTAAAGTTCTAGTTTGCAATCTGTCAGTAAAGTTAGCATAAAGTTAATTTGTTTGAAAGTTAAGTTAAATTATGACGAACAACAAATCTTTAAGATTCACTAGAAATAAGGCTGCAAGCTGAGAGTGAAAGGTTTGTTAACCTCTAGTTAAAAGTTTTAGTCAGATAAACCATTTCGCCATTTAACACCACCATGATATTGAGAAACTGATTGTTTACAAAACTGTTAAGAGTTTTCAGTCAGATAAACCATTTCAGTCAGTTAAAAACCAAAAGATTTGAGAAACTGATTGTTTACAAAAAATCAAGTTAACTCGACATTGAGAAACAGGTCCATAGTAGACTACTTACGCCTCGGCCAGTTCCTCGTATTTCTGGGTGACCAGGGCAAACACCGGGCTCACGTTCTCGTTGTTCTCCGTGTAGAGAGTGGACAGAACGGAGGACTTGTCCTGCCGGCGAATCTCATCGCTGAGGATCAAGTTGAAGACCTTCTCGATCAAAGCCTGGGTCTTCACACAGCCGAAGGAGTTCTGGATCAGGGTCTCCTCGGTGGCCACGGTCTCGTTCTTGAACTTGTAGTACAGGGCCTGGAACTCGGCTTCTCCACCCTCACGCAGACCCACACAGTAGACGGTGGCACGAATGTTCTTGGGCACGGTGGTCAGGGACTGGAAGTAGCCCTTGGCCTTGCTGATGCAATCGGCACTGCCATACCGACAGGCCCAGGAGAGGACCTTGGTGCGCAGATAGATGTCCAGGGCGCTATCACTGGTGGTCTCATTGAAACCAAGCTGATTGTAGGCCTTGTTGGTCAGGGTCTGAATGTAGGTGTTGAAGTCGGCGGTGTCATTGCCCAGACGGATGGTCAGATAGCTGAAGCCATTGAAGGCCGACGTCCAGGGGATGTAGTTGGTCTCCGTCTCCAGATACTCGATCACATCCAAAGTGAGGTTGTAGGAGATGTGTCCGGCCCTGGCCAGGTTGAACAGATCGTCCACGATCTGGGCACGGTTGTTCTCGTGAATGCCTCCCCAGTTCTCGGTGTTGAGAACGGAATGAATGGCATGCCAGTTGCTCTCAGTGTAGTTAACACGGTAGTATCCAGTCTGCTGAATATTGACCACAATCCATTTGATGCTCGAGTTGAACAACACAGTGGTGGTCACATCAGGGTTCAGGATAAACTTGGGTGTGGCGTTGGCAAAGTTCAGAGCCTCACTGGTGGTATAGGAAATGGGCACAGTGTACTTCAAATTGGCATCCGCTCCGTCGTTGTCCTTCAGCAGGAAGCGCTTCTGGGTGAAGCTGACCGAACTGAGGTTGGCGGCCACCGAGACGACGACCACGGGGTAGCCCACCTGCTCGGTGAAGCTCTTGAAAATGGCCTCGGAACTGGCATTGTAGCTGGAGTTGGGCCACTGGGCCTGCCATTCTCCCAGCAGATATCCGGGCACCGACGGCTGATACTCGCTGTAAAGGTTGTCTTAGTCATAGGATAGTCATAGGGATTTTCACCAGTACTTACTACTTCTTGAGGTACGCCTGCAGGGCCAACTTAAACTGCTCCTCGCCCATGGTGTGCTTGATCATCCGGATGAAGCTGGCTCCCTTATTGTAGGAGATGCTGTTGAACATGCGGCTCAAATGGGCTGGGGTGTAGGTGTTCTCATCGCTCAGCGGATTGGTGGCATTCGTGGAGTCCATGGCCATGACAGACTGCACCTGATCAACCACAAACTGCTTCTCCAGCTCCCACTGATCCTCGACCATGGCGGTGCCGAAGTACTGGAAGTAGCGGGCGAATCCCTCGTTCAGCCAGGTGTAGCTCCACCACTGGCAAGTGACCAGGTCGCCGAACCACATGTGAGCCTGTTCGTGGGCCACCACGGCGGCGATGGACTGGCGGGAGGCCAAGGTGGTCGCCGACTCATCTACCAAAAGACTGCGCTCCCTGTAGGTCAGCAGACCCCAGTTCTCCATGGCACCGGCCGAGAAATCCGGAATGGCGGCCATGTCCATCTTGTCGTTGCCCATGGTGTAGTAGTCCTTGTCCAGGTAAGCGCCCATCTCCTTCAGGATCTTGATGCCGACGTTGTAGGGGTACTGGGTCTGCGCATAGTACTCGGGACGGGCGTAAACTCCGAAGTCATCGTCCTTGCGGGCCACAAACTCCGAAATAATGAAGGCCAGAAGGTAGGTGGACATTTTGGGAGTGGTCTTGTACACATCCGTGAAATAGCCACTAAAATGGGGGGAAAAAAGAAATTATATATTTATTATATTGATTTTAATATCAACCTCATATGTACGTTGATAACTAGACCCGTTTTCTCAATGTCATGTTACTCGTAACTTTTGTTTTGAACAGTTGCAGTAGTGTATCTCAATATAATTTTAGGGTTAAGTTTGAAAATATTTAACTAGTCGTGTTGTTCTGGTTAAATTTACCGTTGGACAAAGGATCTTCTGATCTTCTCTATAGGTTTTCTCTTCTATCAATTTAACTCATTTTTAACAGTCGCTGACAAAATACAAACCTTAACATGACATTGAGATATCGGCACTTAATATGTGATATGTGATATTTAAATATGTAGAATTACTTACTCCTCAGTGCTGGGGGACGATGAGATGAGACGGGTGTTACTGGCCGAGTTGTAGGTCCTGTAGCGCTTCAGGGTGACATTGAAGGTGGCCTTGAACTGGGGCTCATCGAAGCTGGGGAAGGCACGGCGGGCGTGGTTGGTCTGGAACTGAGTGGAGCCGAGCCACTTGGTCACATTGTTGTCGTCCACATAGTAGCTCCGGTAGAAGCCCTGCATATCGTCCAGCATCAGACCGGTATACACGAAATGGAGAATGTATGGCGTATTTGGTGCCAAAGCGGTTGAAGCTGTCAGCTGGACAATATCCGTATCATAGTTAGTGGAGTTAGTTGCACCAAACTGAGTGGGAGTCGGATTGGCCACACCGGCAGCTGGCTTCGCCCAGTACTCGCTGACCGAATAGGTCAGATTCTTCGAGTGCAAGTGGACGGCCTGGGTGCTCTGGTTGGATACAACTTCAATGTAAACTTCGCCATCGAAGGTGAACCTCTTGTTGCCATCGCTTTCCAGCAAGTAGGGTCGCAGGGTGATGTTGTAGCTAACTGGCTTGATGTGATCGGCCAGACGATAATCCCCCAGCTCGGTGGCAAAAGTCGTTGGAGGCTGGACATCCAAAGCTAATTGTCGAGTTCCTGCTGAAGCCAAGGACACGCAGGCTGCCAGGAGGACAGCAACTCTCA